TACATTACGTTTCTTTCTTTTCCTATTTAGAATGTAAAAGAAAAGAATTAATTTTAACTGAGCCCCCAAAACCCTGAACTCTTATTAAAAAGAACAAAAGTCATTAGCATGGGAAGAAAAGGAATAATTCTGAACAGGAAATCATCATTGGCTTCAGTATCTAACAGACCCAAGCGTAGCTTCTAGCCTGTGCAGTCGCCGGCCTGACAATTCCCAGGGAGTGCCATGCGCGTATGTGCAGCCACAGACTGCCTTAGAGCGCCCCCTGCCGCATCGCCGACACGTGCACCGCTCCTAGCCCGCACGCACAGCCTCTCACCACCCTGAGCGGCCCAGCGGGCAGAAGGCCTGTGAGGCCACGTTCTGAGACTGCAGAGACTGAATATGCTGCCAAGGCTACACAGCTGTGTAAACGGCAGAATGGGGATTTAAAATTTTTTGAACTTGAAAGTCTGTTGCCTTTGTACTTCACATATCTCTTCGGTACTTAATACATGAAAATGCACCCACTCCTCTTTTTACCAGCGCCACCACCACACTAAATAAATCAACACTGCTGGAATATAATGCACCTTTCTGCTGGATTTACACTTCCGAGGGATTCTTACCTGGTGCTCCTGTGTACATGATGGAAAATGCGTTTATCGCTATAGTGGCAGCATAGAACACGGGGAGTGCCCGGAGGCCATTGGGGACAGGGTCCTCCTGCGTAACAATGAGACAAAGTGGGAGGTCAGGATTCAAGGAGCACCTGGAGCCAACACACACAAAATGATACAAAACACTGTTACAGAAAAGTCTTCCCAAACCCCAGCATGGCCAGAAAGGCTGGCGTGTCACTGCCTGTGACCTGCCGCTTAGCTACAGAAATGGCATCAGCTGGAGCCGTCTCTTCTACACAAATGCAATTTCAAAGAGTCCACTATTGTGGCCCGCAGACACATTAAAGCACGAGAATCACATGAGCTGATGTCAGAATCAGAAACAGAAAAGAACTGTTGGGTTAGGTCAGTTCTTGGGGACAGAAGACCAGAGCTCAGCATTTGATTCCTCAAAACCTGTGGAGCTCCAAAAGCTCCAGCTAAGTCCAGAATTGGCCCTAGAGGGCTACATTCAATGAATACTGGAGACTCTGACTTCTGATGACTCTCTAAGAGGGTCAAATGACTCACACATCACTGCCTCACCATTAGGTCTGCATCACTGCACCACACAGTACAATTTAGCTGTACATATTACCAAGTCCTATGATTTCCAAAATCTTTCCACAAGGTATAGCATTTAACTTTCAACTACTAAAAGTTAAAAGAACTATGGGTTCTTTGTCTAATAAAACACTTATTTACAACTCTAGCCTGCTACAACATTCCCTAAATCTAATACTTCAACAAAAAATGATACTGCGAGTGTTTTAGGTTAAATAACATCCGAGAGAATATTAGAAATTTAGAGTTTTAAGCAGATCTACAGAGGATTTTGAAGCAAAAGTACGGGCCAGGAACTCCTCACTACAGCAATGGTACATAAATGCTGCTTAAACAATTCAAAAGGGGACTAATTTCTAATAACTTTGTGAAACACCCTTCCACATTTGTGTGAACATACCACGATAAAGGAAAAGTCAGGTCTAAAAACTGGAGCAAACTACAGAAGTGTGGGCAAGTGAAGACTGTCTCGAAGACACAGACTGCTGGATGCAAACGCAGGTGGAAACTATGTGTGTTTGCACAACAGCACAGTTCACCCAGAACCTGTCCTGGAATGTCTCGAGTAGTCTCAGCTCTTGTCAGAGGCTTGGGTTGAATGACAGTGAGGTGTAAGAACCAGTGAGAGCAGGGTCCTAAGCCCTAAGTCCACTGGGCTGGAACGAGGGCTGAGGGACACAGCAGTGTCTTAACCTGTGAGGTATCACATGAGAAGAACCCAGGCTGAACTGAAAACAAAGAGCTGGGATGCTCAAATGCCTGCTGCCTCCGGTTTCCAGAGCATTATTTTCTTGGGTACAACAGTTGCAAAAGAAAGACACCTAACCCATAACTTTTGAAAGTGTATAGTACTGAGTTTGTGTTTTTTAATTGAATCACCTTACGTTTTCTCAAATAAACCATTCCTAAAACTCAAATGACACGTCTCATTGAGACATGTCTCCTTTCTTCTCTCCTATTCCTTTCTCTCTCTCCCTTCTCCTTTCCATCCTTCCTTCCATCCATCCATCCATCCATCCATCCATCCATCCACCCACCCACCCACTTATCACCTGCCACCCATCCAAGCATTCATCATGCCCTCTTAACAAACACTAGTGTTAAGCACAGTCCTGGGCACTGGAATACAAAAGTGACCAAGAGAGTCGTGGTTTCTACTCTCACAGACAGTCAAATAGCGAACAGGCTTGAAGCAAGAAATGAAACACTACACAACACGCTAAGTGCGACAGTAAGAAAGTACACAGTGCTGTGGACTACGAGAGAGAGGGAACCAACCAGAAGAGGAGAGGCTTCCTAGGGAGTGACCCCTGAGGGCTGAGCAGCAGTCTGCCACGTGAGGATGGATCCAGGTGGAGGAAGTAAAAGGGTGAATGAAGGCTGGCAGGCAAGAGAAGGTGGCACTTTCCAAGATGCAATCAAATGCCAGTGTGGCTGGAGCCCAGGAGAAGGAATGGTAAGACATGACGATGGCAAGATTGTACTTATGCAAGAGAATGAGCCCTTCAACGGGCTCCTGGGCGATGCTGAGGAAAAAGAACTGCGTTTTCAAGCGAGGACCCAGTGGGGGAAGGCAGGGCCCCGGCGTGCCGGGTGGGTGTGTGCTGTCACACGACAATCAAAGGCAGGCTCTACCGCCTGTGAAGTCCTGAACCAGCCTGTGACAGTCAAGTGAAAAAGACAATCGAGTTTTTTCCTAGAACACTGATCTCGGTAAATTCTAGTTTTAATCTTATTTTATTTTTTAGACAAAATGTACCTTCAGAAGGTATATTTCCTTCTTCCTATCCTTTCTTCAAATTAAGTCAGTGTTTCAAGCTTACTTTTGCCAATAAAAAAAATAGGAAAATACCTTTATATTTGGGTAAGGACATTCTCCAGCTGTTTTTAATGACGGTCCATTTCAAAATCTTAACACCTACTCATTCTATTCTGTTTAACATTCAGGAAATAATTACCTTTCTTTTTTGAGGTCTGAGCACAATTCCTGGGAGTGATGCCTAATGAACTAAGTCACAGAGCCAAGAAACAATATTTGTAATGCTGGTTTCTGGGGGAGTTTCTGGGTAATTTATCTTGGCTCTTTCTGGCTACTTATAACAACATCTGACTCTAACTCCAGGGTGTTATGCCTCAACAATATATAAATACAATTATTTCTCTAACCCCTCTCACTATTAGTTTCTATCAAGTAGAACCAAAATTAGTTCTAAAATTTAATTAAAAATAGCGGCCTCACTTACCTTTTTTAAGATGAAAATTCTGATCAGTACAAACAGCATGCCAGACATGAAACCAGACAACAGTGGAGATATAAACCAAGAAGCAACTGAATAATTAAAAAAAAAAATCTAATGAATGTTAAAATTCATACATAATTATGGTCATACTGATAACAATACAATGATAACCAAAGTATATCATATACATTAATAAATATTTCCAGAATCCCTTACATTAATTCAGAACCTAACGCGTCCTCGTGACTCAGCGCATGTGTAGCTACACTCAGACGCAGGCACGCAGTCACACATAACTGATCGCACTGTCAACACACAGTCAGGGAGCCACTGCCCCGAGCTCTGGCCTCGGAGGACAGATTCTCTTGCTTCCCAGTGAGCTTCTGCCCGCCCTTCTTATCAATACACATGGAGGCTGTCCTGGTTCCGACGCTAAGGGTTATCTAAAAGGTGGACCAACTTCCATCTTACTTTCCCAACGAGAGTAGCCACTACTTCCAGAACGCTGAAACTTTCAGCCTCTAGCCAAGTAATTCCCAACTCTGGCTACTCACTGGAACTGTCTGGGGAGTTTTCAAAAATTAGTTATGCTCTGGCTCTACCCCCACAATTCTAATTTAAAAGATTTGGAATGGAGTCTGGGCACTGGTATTTCTAAATCACTCAGGTAATTCTGAAGTGCAACCATAGTTGAGAACCACTGTTCTAGAAGCCTGGGATGCAAGGCGATCTTCCTGGTGGCCTGGGTCCCAGCTTGGCAGGTAAGGGACCCAGTGTGATCTAGGGCTCCTATGGTTGCTGTGACTCTGATTAAAAAAAAAAAAAAAAAAAAAAAAAAAGAGCAACCCACAGGATGGAGACGGGATGAAAGAGTACATATCGTCATGGGTGGGTTGGTTCTTTGAGGACTGAATGGATTTACCTCTTGCTAAAAGCAGACTCAGGAAACAAGTGGTCAGACCTCTCAGAATGTATGCAGGCCTATGTTTTGGTCCCTGAAAGGCATGTACGGCCTAGAAGGAATACCAGAATCCTGCTTCCTCCTTGGGGCAGCCTGGACACTCTCCTGGGTGCACTGAGCTAAACAACACTGAGCTCACTGTGGCTCCCCACAACCGTGAACTCTGACTCCCGGATTCAAGGCATTTCCCTTACTGGGTCTAGTCTCTGACCTTCAGACTGCTTTTAATCAAATAAATTTCTCTTCTGCCTGGGAAGCACAGACAGATACTGATTCAAAACTGGATGACAACGTAACATTTTAAAAGAGTGGAGTTAAAAAATTGTCTAACACATAGCAGTTCAGTCTCCATTCACAGAAATTCTTTTTTTTTTTTTTCTCTTTGTCTTTTTTTCGTGGCCGGCAACGGATCGCAACCCTCAGTGTCGCGCCCATACCGGACCGGGACCGGCAACGGGATCGCAACCCTCGGTGTTGCGCCCGCACCTCGCTCAGCCAGTGAGCGGGAACCGGTCTGTATGTGGGATCCGAACCCTCGGCGGGAGCGCTGCCGTGCTACCCAAGCGGCGCACTGTAGCAGTGTGCCACCAGGCAGGCCCTCCATTCACAGAAATTCTAAGGGAAAATGCATTACCCATATACCATGCAGGTCTTCTAAACCTTAACATTTGAAAGAAAAATATATTATCAAAGTAACTTTTAATAAAACAATCTAGAAAAGGTAAACTTTCCTTCTCACAGGTAAAAGGAAATGGTAATTACCAATCTTGACAAGCTCCATCCACTGCACACCCTTTGTACCAATTGCAACCAGAGAGAACCCAATTGTGGCACCGACAATGCAGTGCGTCCCTGAGATGGGAAGTCTCAGGAAGGACGCAATCAGCTGCCAAACAGCGGAACCTACAGATTGAAAGAAAAAAGAAATCAGATGCACAGCACAGCATCTCAGACAGAAAGGAAGAAACCCACTGCTGTTCTCCATAACAACATCTCCCTGGGTTTAATTTTCTATGGACTATTTCTTTACAAAGTGCTAACGTCCTGACAAAAATCGCTCAATGGGTTTTAGTCAAAGGAATGTCTTTCTCCCACATGGAAGGGGTGCCAGTGGTCCTGTGTTTAAGGACACATCTCCTGATGCCAGCTGTGAGCTGCCTTTGGTACATGTTGGGGAGGGGCTGATGCTGAACTTGTTCTGCTGTGAAGTTTGGCCAAAACCAAGCAAGAGATTAAAGACTTCAAAGAACACAGAAAGAGAAGAAAGGCGATGCACTGGACAAATATTTTGTTGCAGTGGTACCTTGTGTCCACGTAATGGGGAGGGCTGGACACTGGCTGTCATGGCAGTCTCTGTAGGAGCGTACCACACCACGCTGCCTTTTGACTTTTGCCTCTCATAGGAGAAGTAACTGTGATATTTAGCCCAAAGTTGGCATCTGTTCTCGGAGCGTGCCCAGAATGTTGGGCCTTTATTGGCCTGAGCTGTTATGCCTACTGATTCTTTGTTGTTAAGAGGATCCCTTAGTGCTGGTTTTGTGTCCTTTTACCTCAATTTTACCACTCTTTTGTAGAATTAACGTTCTTTCAGGCTACAGTTCACTTCAGACGTTTTCATAAGCTGTTCACATTCCGCAGTGAGTATTAAAAGCATCAGCTGGGAGAGGTCACTTTCTGAAAACAGTTGTTGAAAAGCTCGCACAGAGCTGTACGGGAACAGAGGGCTTGGCTGATAAGCTGGGCACATTAGTAATCCCAAATGTTAGCTGGAAACCTGGCTGCTTGGCAGCAGCAGCACATCTAAGCAGCCCCCTGGCATTTCTTCCAAAGATCTCTGGGTGACAGAGGGTCACTGATGTCAGGATAGGTCCCCGATTGTGAAGCTACGTGGACAGCAGCCCCAGGGTGCACCAGGCGTGCTGACCTCTGAGCTGCAGCTGCTGTGACCTGCGCCACCCCCCAGGGCGTGCTGTGAGAAGAGGGGCCAGCCTGGTGCTGCCAAGCTGGGCAGACTCCACAGCAGCACAGGCTTGCCCGGGACACGTCCTCGTGCCACCCTCCTGAGCCCTGCCTGCCTGGGCTCTGCAGGAACCAGCTGTTTAGTTTTTAAAAATAAAGCCAGAGTTTGGGGCATGTTTCAAAGCACAGAACAATAACTAAAAAAAAAACTTTATGATTTATATTCTTACAAAAACTAAAATAATTGAGGATGGTACAAATTCACCCAATTGGATTCAGACGAGGTGATTTTCCTCCCTGAAAGCGCTATCCTTTCACTGGCTGACTTTATAAAATCTGTCCTGCAGCAGGAGTGTGTGTGAGGAAAGGTGGAGAGAGGGGCTGCGTGTGAGGGGAAGAAGGGAAGGGGACCAGGGAGGAGTGGGAGCAGCTGGAGGCCGTGGGACCACATAAGCTTAGGAGCAACCGCGGGAAAAGGAAAGCTCTTTCAATGTAAGGTGATGGCATCCTACAAAGAGGAAAGAGACAAAACAGGGGGAAAGTGGGGAGAGGGCATCGTTGAGGCCACAGGTCCGGACAGACGGAAGACCTGGCGGAGCCAGCTCCAGCCTGTGGGGGGTGTGGAGGGCCTTTTGCAGCCTGGTGCTGCCAAGCTGGGCAGACTCCACAGCAGCACAGGCTTGCCCGGGACACGTCCTCGTGCCACCCTCCTGAGCCCTGCCTGCCTGGGCTCTGCAGGAACCAGCTGTTTAGTTTTTAAAAATAAAGCCAGAGTTTGGGGCATGTTTCAAAGCACAGAACAATAACTAAAAAAATAAACTTTATGATTTATATTCTTACAAAAACTAAAATAATTGAGGATGGTACAAATTCACCCAATTGGATTCAGACGAGGTGATTTTCCTCCCTGAAAGCGCTATCCTTTCACTGGCTGACTTTATAAAATCTGTCCTGCGGCAGGAGAGTGTGTGAGGAAAGGTGGAGAGAGGGGCTGCGTGTGAGGGAAGAAGGGAAGGGGACCAGGGAGGAGTGGGAGCAGCTGGAGGCCGTGGGACCACATAAGCTTAGGAGCAACCGCGGGAAAAGGAAAGCTCTTTCAATGTAAGGTGATGGCATCCTACAAAGAGGAAAGAGACAAAACAGGGGGAAAGTGGGGAGAGGGCATCGTTGAGGCCACAGGTCCGGACAGACGGAAGACCTGGCGGAGCCAGCTCCAGCCTGTGGGGGGTGTGGAGGGCCTTTTGGGGACTGTGCACTTCTCCGGGTGGTCCAGGAAATGGCTTGCTCATGAAAGTGTGGTATTTGCATGAGAAGGTGCTGCGTTTGAACTCTCAGCAGTAGATTTCTGGAAACCCTGGTGGTTTCGTACAAAGTGGACTGACTGCTGCTGTAGGGCTGAGCAAGAGTCTCAAGAGGTAACTCGTCCAGGAAGTTCAGCGGCATGAACCACGTCTTCTACCCAACCCTAACACAACTCTATCTATCGGGAAGCACAGAGGCCCATGGGCTTGGGGAGAGGACTTTAATGAAAAAAGAGAACATAAAATAGAAGAAAAGGGCAGGGGGATAGAGGGAGAAGAAAAAATGGATGCTGAATTTAGGAGAGGCAGATTGAGAGAGTTCAGGCATTTGAACAGAACTAGCTTTGGTTTGGGCCAGTAATAGTTATACCACCACCTTAAATTTACATAGCTCCCATTTGCAAAGAGCGCAATTTAAAAAATCTAGGTAGCTCATACAAATTCCCAACAAAATAGGCTTTGAGAGTCATCTAACCAACCTCCCCTCCCCCGAAAAAAGAAACCAAAGCCAACAAAATCAAGTTATTTAAGCAAAACCCCAAATTGCTTTGGTAAACCCAAATTCTAGTTGAGGTAAGTATCCTTCATTCTTTCAGTAAAGAGCCAAAAGTTGGGGGTGGGAAAACTGAAGAACCAGACAAGTTTTACTGTCCATAGGAAAAGTCAGAGACATGAAACTCAGTCTACAGAACTTCCTGTCACCGAGGTCCTCAGCAGCAAGTCTCTGCCATACGCACCACTGTTCCAACAAAAGGAGAAATCCAGCAAAGATTTAATTTTGTCCACGTTTTTCTTTATTTCTCCCATACTTTCAACACATCTTGCCCACATCATGCTGACAGGAAAAATCTTAACTTCACCTTGATATGTTTAAATCTTAAGTATCTATCATGGCTATCAAGGGTGAATTTTACACATTAGCAGTTATTTTTCTAAGGGAAATTTCAACTATATCTGACTGTGCTGAGAAACATATACTCAGTGACGGTAAGTAAGATTCAGTAATTACAATAGCTGTTGAAGTCAAGTGATCTTGAACCTTAGGTCTGTACAACACAACATGTTAAGTGGAGAAAAGGAACTCCTTAGCACGCATTACCAGCCTGCCACGCATAGTGATACCGAGCACCTTAGCACGTCGGTCTCTGCTTCAACAACTTCTCAGACCGACTGGCTGTAACAGAGAGAGAGCAGACCATCCCAAATATGGTGAATCATCTCCACATTCTGGGTGCTTAAGAAATGCTTGTGACAGAACGCACGACTAGGGCCCTGTGGATGGAACTGTGTTCTTGGTACACCAGCCTCTCACCTCCTGCTTCAGGACTCTTCCTACAAAAGGATATGCCCTGTTGAAAGCAGAAAGTGACAGAATTCCTCTCTGACCCCCTTCTCCCTAACCAAACTACCAGCATAGATCAGCTGTCCACTGTGACCTCATCTTCCCAGAGGCAAACAGAGAAAGAGTCCTGCCAGCTGCGCAGAACCGTTCCTGCTTGGAATTTTCTGTCCAGCTGAGCAAGGGCAGTGAGGGAGGGGCCCCCACAGGGCGTCAAGTCCACGGTCACCATGACAATGGAGAAATCACACTGTCCAGCCAGTCAATCTGTTAACTACCATGTAACTCATTCACCTCAATACTTCTCTTCATCTAGACAACCAAGAAAAGCTCATACTATAAACAGGGGACATAAAAATTTTCTACTGGCTGGAAAATAAAATGAACATACCAATGGAGTGCCCAGAGGTAGGATAAGAAAATCGAAACAAAAGCCAACAGAAGGACTACAAATAACACAGAAGACCAGAATCTCTTGAAACACAAGCACTTAAGATTCATTTGGTAATTGCTCTAGAACTTTAACTGAGAATACAAAAGTTAACTTAATAAACATTGTTTTTCTAACATCTAAGTTTTCAAAACATTGCATCCTAATTGATGAAAAATCTTAAGAAAAAATATAAATCAACCTTCAAGGAGATTGCATAAGAAACCTTTATAACACATTCACTTAGACATGCTATTTCTTTAATAACTTTCACACAACCCTAAAACAATAAAGAGCTATTCTACAAATATCTTTTTCTGTACTTTGTGAAAAGTATTCATTTAGCTGATATCTCAAATTGTAACAACCAAGTTTGCGAAAAACTTGAGAAAATAAATGTTTGATATTTAAACACTTTAAAAAATCATAATCAAATTAAAATGCAGAGCAAGAGTAACAGAGTAAATACGAAACATCGAATCAGTTTTTGAAAATACTTAAGTCACAATCAGATTGATGAGTATGGGAAAAGTACTGTAGGGAAGCAGGCCAGGGACACTGCCCCTGCCAGAGTGAAGAATAAAGCTCCTTACCGACCATGGCGCTGACTTCCCCAGCCATCAGCCTCTCCACCGTCTTGTTGTACAGGTTCACGTCGATGATACCTTTGCGAATGGTCTCCCCTACTTTGGCTCCCAATAACACTGAGCCGGTGGTTTCAAATACTGAAGCCAGAATGCACGCCTGTCTCAAGGTCACCACACCAGAGCCCACGGCAGTGCCAAATGAATTGGCAACATCATTTGCACCAACAGAAAATGCCAAGACGAAAGCTATGATAAAACCCAAAATAACCATCCACAAGTACCCGTCCATGGCCATTTTAGAAAGTGGGCTCCAGGTACTTTTCTTTTGCGGAAATATTTAAGACAAACAACGCTTGAGGTTATAAACTTCGTAAGGCCGAGAGTTCCTGTAAACGGTGAGTTTGCTCTGGAAAGTGCTGGACAACGTTAGAGCCTGAACAAACTGCTAACTGCTGGTTTTCACAGTACTGTCAGTACCGTTCATGTGGTTGTGTTCAGTCAGCGTTAAAACACATTCCATATTTTTCCTCCCAATCTGGGAAAGCTGTGATGTCTCCTCCTGTAACAGAAAGAAAACAAAAGAAATCAATTACCCTAAGCAACCTGTAACAGCTTGTTCTTTCAGAAATAAATGTTTTAAGCCTGCTAATGGGATCTAACTTTGGCATGTGACAGATCTAACCATAAAGCAATTCATAGAAGATTATAATTAGGTTACCCGTCCCCCCCAACCAAAAAAAAGAAAAGCTGGAGGTTGAAGCATGCGAGTAATTACAGACTGATGACAGTAAGCCCAAGTTATGCTTTTTGTGCAATTTGAAAAACACATTTGGTCATTATTTTCAGAGAGGAACAATGACCTCAATGAGCAGAAGACAAAGAAATGAGAAATTCAGGTTACATAGCTTTTCAAATACTGTATGGGGAATGTACCTAGGCTCTTGGAAAAGTGACAACCAAATTTGGTATTGTGACTCCACAGGGTGTGGCTAATTAGCTACCTGCACATTTACGCATAAGGAATGTGCACTTTGCTGTGAGCACATCACATGAGTATCTAAAGAAAGTTTACAGGCTCTGGTACAAAGTCACTTATCCAGAGGGTGACAGAGGTGGGACCTGAAGGGCCTCAGAAAAGAACAGAGAAGGCTGGAGAATAAAGCCTGAGTCAGATCATGTCACTATTCCCCTACTTCCCATCTCACTAAGAAAAGCCAGAGCCCTCGTTATGGCCAGAAAGACCCTCACGATCTCCTTGTCCCGCCCCTGGCCAGCCCTCCCTTCCTCTGCGCCAACCGGCTGGCTCCTTGCCATTCCTTGAAAACACCAAGCACACTCTGACCTCGGGCCTTTCGCACCTGGTGATCTCTCTGCCAGGAGAAATCCTCCCGACAGCTGCACAGCTCACTCCTAGCTCCGTTTAGGCTTCTGCTCAAATGTCACCATCAAGCAACGACACCCTGACCTTGTAAAAAAGCAGCCCCTCCCCCATGCCATTACTCCGATGGAGAGGAGATGCCGCAAAATACACTCAGCAAGTAAAAATCTCGTGAAAAGCTTTGTAGCTATGGTATTCTATTACTACATAGTCAAGGTACAAAATCTGCATATTTCCTTTGAAGAGTATCAGGCACACAGGATGGTGCCTAGCGCGGTATGGCTCTTAATAAATGCTTACTGAACTGAATTGAATAAACACCACATCATATACAATATAATACTGTGATCAATCAACAATATTGAGAAAAAAAAAGCAGGACACAAAATTTTATATACATTGTGGTTATGGCAATGTAAAAAATACATATAAAAAGACCAAAAGGTAGTAAACTAAAGTTGTCACAGAAGCTGAGTTTGAGTGGTAGTGTTACGGATATTTTTCCTTTCCTCCCAAAACTGTTACATCGTGGCCACATGCTTTTCATTTGAAAATAATATATAAGAACAAATCGACAAACATAGACTGAGCACCATATAATCACCTTTATGTTATCCTTGCTACCATTTCAGCCCAGAGATTCCCTCTCCTACTTAGATCATCTTAGATAACTTGCTTCCACAATTATATCTGTTCTTTGTCTTTCCTCCTTCAAATTCATACCCTGAGCCAACGAGCCTAGGTCCAATACGCGTCTGCTTGAGAAGAAAGGCTTGCTATCGTCTCCTTTCCTTCCCGTGGTGAAAAGAGGAATGTCTGTTCCTCCTGCATGGAGGAGGCAAAGAGCACAGGGCCAGCAGTCAGCAGCTCTGGGTCTAGTGCAGCTGACCACTGGCCACACTCCCTGGGCAAGTCCCCTGAATGACTCAGCCGAAAATGGGGATCATGTATGGAGCCAGTTGTTATGTGCAAACTGCAAGTAATTAACGTAAAGGTCCCCGCTAAGTGCCAGGAATCAACCGTGATGACTATTACAATTCACAGCAGAGAAAGCCCTGGGGCAATGGTCAGGAAACTGGAGGCCTAATCCTAGCTCTGCTACTAGCTAGCAGTTGACCTTAGACAACTCACATACACTTTCCAAACCCAGTCTCATCATGTATAAAACGGGGATTGTGACAATACATATACTTTACCTATTACTGGGAGGATCAAATCTAATTAAGTAAAAGTGCTTTGTAAATTGTGGTTAGCCTAGGCAGACCTGAAGTCACAGGAAGAATAACACCTTGAAGTTCCAAAATCTTTCCAGCAGGATCTCTGTCCCTCAGTCCTATGCCCAGTTCCCTCCAGCAGTCACGTGGGTACAGTCTCTAGTCTGCTCCTCTTCCCCAAAGCACAAACCCTCGCCCGCCCTGTCTTTGCTTAAAGACAGACACACACTGTGAGTGAGAGGTGGAGGGAGGGGAAGAGGTAAAGAAAAGAAACGCTTCAAGGTGCCAAGAAAAAAAATCACTCCAAATGGTAAAGTCACTTTGGAAAACAGTTTCACAGGTTCTTACAAAGTGAAGCACACACTCACCACACAACCCAGCAGTCCCGTCCTGAGGCATGTGTGCCCCAGAGAAACGAAAACGCTTGTCCACATGGGAAACTCTCGTTCTACGTCTTGAGTGTGCTGGTGGTTCCATGACTGTACACATTTGTCAAAGCTCACAGAACTGTACACTTTATTGTATATAAATTATACCTCAATAAAACTGAGCAGAAAACAATACTTGTTGTAAAAGGTAATGTTCACTTTTGATATTTTTCCTTACCTACATTGCAAGCATTGTGTACCCTCCTCCCAGTCCCCTAGGATGTTATACACAGTACATAGTTTTAAAAAGAAAGAATAGTTCTCTTATTCAATGAAAAAAGGAACTTTCTACTGAGATACAGTGAAACTGGCCAGTTGAACCATAAGCTCCCGCTCAGGGACGGGTCTTCTCACCACGCCGAAGGTGACAGACAGGTCAAGGAGGGGCGGGCTGACCGCACTGCCCGTGTGGAGTGCCACAGGAAGGGACGAGACTCTCCGCGGCTGGGGATGAGAGAGCACGGCCTGCTGTGGGCTGGTGGCCACCCCGCCTTCCAGTCAGGGATGTCCCGCTTCCACAGGGAAAAGGAAGCAGGGTTTCCAGTGGGCACGTCTTTAACATGGCCTCAAGGCTCCAAAAGGCTGAAACCCACTCATTAGCACTTGAGTTTAGGGCAAATGTCAACGCTTTAGCTGACAATCACTCCTACAGTGACCACAGATTGAAGATACTTTAAATCTGGACTTGTGGGGACTTCAAACACCAAGAGCTTCAAGGAAGTCCATTAGAGAAAGTCTGAGTACATGAGGACACTGTAATAAAAGTGCCACCTTGGTCTGCAAGTCCAGCACCAACTCTAACCTCAGTGCTGTCGTGTTATCTCCCATAAGTACAGTCAGACAAAGCTGCAGTGTTCACTTTCTCAGAGGAAGGTGCTTGTGGCCTCGCCGGGCCGGGTCAGGGGTGTGGCAGAGTCAGCACTCAGTCTCGGTTAGGGCCTGGGCGTTCTTTGTGAAGTTAATCTCAAGAGTTCGAGAAAATGTGCAAGTAATTTGAAATGCTGACATATACTGATGTACAAAGATGTTTATTTAGTGTCATTTATTATGATCGTGAAAAAGGAAACCATCTAAATGTCCCCAGATGGGGAATGGCTGTGGGAATACTGGCAACTTGGAAGATGAAATGACCCTGGAGCTCTTCACGACACAGGAACACAGCAAGGCTAAGTGAGAAGCCAGCGTAGGAGGTGAGACGTGCCATGGGACCTCAGCGGGGTGTCAGCACTGGCAGTGAGACTTTAAAGAAACTCGCTCAAGGCAAGCAGCAGCCTCTCTGGTGCTCTTCACATTTTCTTGACATTATCCAAAATTTTCTACCACAGAAATGACCACTTTTATCATTGAAAGCCCTTTCAAAACATGACAAAAGAAAGTACATTTTTTAAAAAAGATAGGAATGTACCATCAAAATATGATTCGTTTTCTTTAATAAACAAAACAAATTTACCATGAATCTATGTCTTCAGCCTGAGCCTCTCAGGCAATTTTTCTTTGGGCTCACTACAAGACACAAAATCCATCATATATTCCTTTTGTTTATCTTTGTCTTTCGCTTTCACGGGTCCCCTTTTGTCCTGGCATCTGAGCACGTGGTAAGGAGCCTTCTGTTGCACGCTGTCTGCAGGGCTCGAGAGGCCCATTCCCAGCCCCGCGCGGACCTTCCCTGGGACGCTGCCTTCACGCCTCATGCTTCTCCTGAGGTCTGGCCATCAGGACTGAACTGCATAAAAAATGTGCAGATGGTGCCAAGTGCTCTGCAGGCCTCTTTTTTACTAAAACAGTATTTGAGGTTAGTGCTTACAAGAAACAACCTACGACTACTCTTTCATTCCTGTTTTGGGTTACAGAATTAGTCATAGAACATTAGAGTTTGAAGGGACTTTAGAAGTACTCTAGTCCAATTCCAGTCATTTTAAAGATGTGACTGTCATAAATGAAAGTAAGTTTAAGTAATGAGTCTGGAAATGCACTTTCTAGTTACTATTAGTCCACACCATGGTAGGAGGTACTCGAATGAAAACCATGTGAGAAACGAGGTAGAGACACTCCTGTGTGACACTCATCAGCCCTTCTTGATGAGATAGTTCCTATTTTGGGAGCTGAGATTCTTTGTGGTCCTGGCCCAAGCTGGTGATGAGAAGGGAGAGAGGGGTGGGGAACAAAGAAGATGGGACTGCTGAGAACGCTGCAGAGGCTTCATGCCCGGAAAGTTCCAGGATCAGACAATATCTTCAAGTCCTGCCAACGCTATTCTCTAGTCCAGCAGAGACCACAGGAGCAGGAGGAGGCAGCGCAGCCTGGAGAACCACGGAACTGCCCTGCAGGGAGAACGAATGGAAATCTCTGACCCTTTCCTGAGCAGGGCAATCACGGCCTTCATGAACTCATGGAACACGATCAGACTTATTTTGTTCTTTCTGAAGTTTCCACTGCGGATCCCAGGGCCCTGTCTTGCTATACTCACTCTCCTTCCTGCATTTTTCTCATTCTGACATTTAAATTTCTTTCCAGTGCATAAAGACTTTTTGTTATTTAG